TTGGACACTTTGGAATATTTGGAGCAACTTAATGAAAAACAAGCTGCATTGATTTTCTTAGATGCAAAGAAGGCCTTTGGCAATTTGAACTGGGCTTTCTTGTTCAAGGTTTTGGAATATATTAATTTTGGAGAGAATTTTATAAAATGGGTAAGATAATCGTTAATGGAGATCTAACGAAACCGCATAAGATACAAAAAGGAATACTGTCCCACTGTCCCCTCTCTTGTCTATTTTGGTTCTTGAAATATTGAACAGAGATATAAGGCAAGATGAGAGGATTGTGGGAATAAAGATTAAAAAAGAAATTTATAAGTTAAGGGGTTTTGCAGATGACTGGTGTTGGTTCTGGAAGATCCTTTAAAGGGAATTGAAATATTAATGGGCAAATTAAAAGAATTTGGTATATTAGCAGGTTTCAATATTAATAAACAAAAGACAAAGATGTTAACCAAAATTATGAAAATAGAAGATCAAATAGAATTGGTGAATAAAACGCGTTTTAAGATTGAGAATAAGGTAAAATATCTGGGTATCACTATAACGAATATGAATTGTATGTTATTTCAAAATATCTATGTTAAGACATGGAATGAAGTTAAAAAACATATGTTAAGATGGGAGAAACTACAACTGTCATTGTTGGGGAGAATTTCTGTGATAAAAATGAATGCCTTACCTAGAATGATGTTTTTGTTTCAGACAATACCTGTTTTGACAACAGATGCACCATTTAAACAGTGGTAGAAGGATATATCTACATTTGTGTGGCAAGGGGAAAAAACATGAGTTAAATATAAGGTGTTACAAGATGCAAAGGAAAAAAGAGGATTGGGTTTACCTGATTTGAAATTGTACTTTGCAGCTTGCTGTTTGGTTTGGATGAAAGAGTGGGTGTTGCTGAGAAATAGAAGGCTTTTGGAGTTAGAAGGACATGACGTGAGATTTGGGTGGCATGGATATTTGTGATACGACAAAGTCAAGGTTAATGTGGATTTTAAAAATCGTTACGTTAGATGTGCCATATTGAAAATATGGAATAGTTACAAACCTAGGTTGTCCCCGAAAACACCTTTGTGACTCTCAGCACAAGAAGCATTTTATAGACAAGAAATAATAGCCAAACACAAATGGCTAACTTATTGTGAGATATTACAATTTTGTCAAGGGGAACGTAAAATAAAATCAAGAGAAGAACTGGTGACAGAGGGATATAGTTGTCAATGGTTCTCTTATCTACAGTTATTAGAAAGATTTAAAGTAGATGAAAGAATTTATGGTTTTGAACATTGTAAGACTGAGTTTGAAATAGATTTGTGTACAAATGATAAACATGTAATTGCTAAAATATATAAACTTTTATTGAAATTTGAAATAGAAGAAGAGCAAGTGAAAGAATGTATGATAAAGTGAGCTAAAATTTTGGTTATAATATACAGATGGAACAATAGAAAAATATGTGGCTGAAAGGATTGAAATTTACACTGTTATAATCGTAAAGAGAATTTTTATAAAATGATGTACTGTTGGTATATGTCACCAGAGAAATTGGCTAGAATGTATAAAGGCACTTCAAATTTATATTGGAAATATGAACAACAAGAAGGGACATTTTACGATGTTTGGTGGATGTATAAAAAAGCTAGAAAAATCTGGATTCAAAATACATACACTGCTTCGGATGATTTTAAAGATTAATATACAATTGAAACCAGAGGTTTTTCTTTTGGGATTGATGGACAAA